TGATTTTACCTCCTAGGAAGTCCTCGTGTTGCACCCGTTTTTTAACCAGCCTTCTCTTTAAAAGATACAAAAAAATAATTTGGAGATTGGAGAGGATGCGGATTGCATTTTTGAACTTCTTTATCGAGTCATAGAGGAGATTGGAGAGCATTTGATGGTATAAATTATTACAGATAACACTAATGTTTATAGGACATCTAGAAATAAGTTAATGGAGAAGAAAAACGTATATATTAGACACCTTGTGTGGCACACTACATAGATTTGATTTTACCTCCTGGGAAATATTCGTGTTGCACCCATTTTTTAACCAGACTTCTCTTTAAAAATTTAAAAACAAAAAATAATAAATTAATTAATTAATTAATTAAAAAAAAAATTAGAGAAACTTGACAACTTGCCTCTATGCAAGCAAGCATTGACCAAAGCAAAGAAGAAAAGCAAATTCATGTAGAATCATTTGTGGATTTTGGTTGATGAGAAAATTTTCAAAAAAAAAAAACTCATAAAACCTACTACAACAAACATATTTGTTAAATCAATTTGATTCTACAAAGCACGTTGAAAGCATGGTAACCTTTGCAGAACAACACAGTCATTGGCCATGTTTTAATAATGGTTAATGAAGAGAAAATGCCATATATACACTTCATTTACAATGTAATAGACAATGCTAAAGAGATGATAGCCCTAAAATAAGGAAGTAATGAGTCTAGCTACAAGGAGATTTGGCATATTACTGATGAGAATTGGGTGATTCAGCTCCATCATTATTTGCATACCGTAAGATATCACCATAAACATCAATTTCAATATGCTAAAACAAGACAACCAATCTTGATATCAAGTAGCTTTTATACCATTGTCTGAATAGGTTGATACCTGACTCAATTGAGAGGGTAAAGGCTAATATGCAACTTGTACTATTAAAAAAATGATTATTTGGTACATTAGCAAAATATTCTCCGAGTAATTTTTTAGTATTTGTTATTTGAAATAAGGAATGATTCTCCCAATTTTAATTTTGTGTGTTTTTTTTTCAAATATAGTTGGTGGATTCAATTTAGCTACAACAATTTGTTGTAAAAATATTGGGACTTACTTGTTTATCGTCAAGATGAAAGATATTTAAGTAAACATAATAAAGTTCCTATGAAAAGATGAATTTGTTTGGCTATCTTAAGAAAGAACTCTTTGGTTTACATCATATACAAAAAGAAATTAAATAATAGAAATTAAAAAAAATGCTTTAAAGGATGAGAAATAACCTCCTTTTTAATGAAGTGTCATTGGATGATGAATGTTTTATGGATGATGATAATGAAGTATCACAATTCGATTTGCAGTAAATATAAATGTTGATTTCTTCAATGGGGATAAAAGCAAGACAAATATGTCTAACACAAGCCAATTAGAAATAAAAAGAAAATGTATCTATTAAAATATAGTTATTTAAAATTGTAACCATCAACATAGTCTTTATTTTAAACTTTAATTTATATTTATAATTTCTTATTAATTATTAATAATTAAGAAAGATGAAGATGAAATAGAGTGTTAGAATATTGACACAACTAAGGATGGGGAAAGGATAAGCAATTCATTATGACAATGATTCCAATGAAGACCCACTAAGTTTTGAGGACTTGTGAATTTAAAATTATAGTATTGGTCACTCGTTATTTGTGATGTTCTTACATTGATGTTGGACAATAGGAGTAGAAGAGAGAAATTTATTGTGTTAAACTTATTTTGAATTGTTATGTCATTAGTTCTCCATTCTTACTTCGATACCTTATCTTACTTTGATGTGTGTTTCTTACTATATGATTTGATGATAAGATGTAAATAAATCACTTGATACTTGTTTACTTTGTTACTTCTTATTATTTTAGAATGTAAATGTTTTACTTCTAATTTCATACTTTAATGTATGTACAATACTTCTTTATGCAATTTATTAATTATAAGAGGCAATTTATTGTTTACGGCAATTTATTGAGGCGAGGCGTAAGCCTCATGGTAAAAAAAATCTCAATATTTAATTGTGTAATTTTAAACCTAAATAAAAACAACTAGCCCGCACACATGATACAAATGATAGCCTGCTTGCAGAACAATTCATGCAAAGCCTACTATTTTAGCACAAAAAGGTTGAATTCAGGTAATTCAAGCATATTCGTTAACTAGAATTCATTTGGCTTCCATAGCAACTAAATTAGGTTCAAATTAATCTGCTAAATTAAATTAAATGGCTTTTATTATTTTGGACATTGAATGTCAATTCATATTTTTAGAATGAACCTTGTTTCGAGCTCCAGTAAACAAGACAAAAAAAAGCCCCAAAAAATGCCCCTTGATATTCTCAACCATTCAAGGTTCTACAATAAATTTTACGCAAGATAGATCGTAACAACAAAAAGATAACACAAAATATTGTTCCTCGCAATAATAAATCTATTCAATCAACCTCATATATAAACACACGATAATTCAATCTTCTATTTCAAAATTTATGAGAGCAAGTAGAGTTCCAAACCATTCAAACAACCACTTCTAGACTTACACTCAATAAAGATATCGATTATATGATCTCCATACCTTAAGATTGTGATAATCTATCGTCGATCGTAATTAGACTAATTCAATAGTCCTCACTGATCCCAAAAGCATTTCATTACAACTTTCAGTGGAGATGGGCACATCCTTTAATCTTCCAAATAATTTAATCCCATCACTTAAGATCCCATTAATCCAATTTAAAGACACATATTGCCGAACTCCGAAACCATTTCATTGGATAAATTACCAAAAACAATCAAAGGAATAAGAAAACTCTCTAAGATACTTCATCAATATAAGGCAGCCTCCAAAACACAAATATACTATTAACAAACTTCAAAAAAGCATGATTATATAAGGTATGCATTATAACCTAAAACTGAAGGAAATTAACCTGTATAACAACCATTCTAAGGTTATTCTTTTTTTTTATTCCTCCTATCTTTAGTTTATGAATGGATTTGGAAGTGAACACATATGCATACCTCATAAATATAAGAATAGTTCACACAGTGATTTGCACATTAAAAAACTCAAAATAAACGGGGAAAAATTAAAATGTCATGAATTTGACATGAATTTACCCACCACTACTTCCGAATCAGCCAACTAAGTGCAACTCATTCTATTCATGAATTTGAAGATGTTATGTTACAATGAAAGGCATGAAATAACAGCTTAAGGCACAAATTTATGACACTCCCAAATAAACTTCCAAGAACTAAATCTTTTTGCACCTTTTAAAATATAAGAATTAAGTAGGACGCCAAGTATACACAAATTTCCAACAATTACCCAACATGAGGAAGTAGGATCACTTTCACAAAACTACAAACATCTCAACTCATTTACGTAAAGAACATTGCATCAAAAAGTTTCACATTAAGGTCAATGATTACAAGGTCTGCTTAGTCTACAAGAATAAAGTCAAAGTGATATACTGAAGATTAAATTTTCAAGAATATTGATTTCACTCATGAACCTATCAACAAATATCATCATTACAAGAATGCACTCAAAAATTCAATAATTAGTCAAACTATGTCTGCAATAAGGAGAACAATTAGCCATACAAGCTAACTACCTCCCAAAGGAATATGAAATCTAACCATCCTCAACTTCGTTAGGTAGTTAATAGCTAGTTTTATTGTACTCTATCATCGCAATGGCAGCTTCAAGGCTCCTAAAGAGATATAAAACCAATTTGTAAGCACATGGGTCCTAATTGCTATTTTGTTTTACCTAATCTTCTCCAACCATGGGTGAATTCAATATGGAGGCATAGGGGCAGGCACATACCCCTACTAGCTCAAGTATGTTCCACAAAGTTACCCAATCAGGTCACATGGCTCATCCTTCATTCTCTTTATTTCATGACTAGGAATGAAAAGTTTGGCAAAAACCAAGATTTAAAAAGTCAAAGTGTAGAAAGACTAATCATTCATGTTCAGACATCAAAGTTTTACAAGAATCATGAGATGAGTTATCTACAATTTAACATCAATGTTGTGTCGGGTACTTGGCGAGGTCATTGACTTCTCCTCTCATTCTCACTTTTTTGTTTGCTTCACAATAGACCCTTTCTTTCCTTAAATCTCAACAACTGAGGCCTCTCCTAAAAAGCCTATTAATGTAGTTTTGAAACTGACCTCTAATGCTTTCACTCCAACATTTGGACCAAATTGTAAAATAAAACACCAAATAACTTTTTTTTAATTATGCCTAACTCATGTTAGCCATTTATTTTGTAGTGATTAGTTAAAAAAATCATGAGATTGATTACTTTAAAGCTTAATTTAAGTATGAAATGACAAAATTTTATTAAGAATAGAGGTAGGATAGTACGCTAACTTTTTACAATGCCCCGCTGAAAAAAATTTCAAGATTCGCCAGAGCTAGAGAGCAACTGTTGTAAAGGCAGAACATATCCCCTCAACCCTAATGCTGCGCTCTTATACCAATCAGAACAATGGTAACTGCAGCACAACAAAATGCTACATGCCTTTTTAGCCAATGGCACACAAAACTTCAGCAAATACACCATGTACTAGAAAAGTTGAATCCTTTAAAAAGGTAAAAACAAGGTCTTAAGATGTCAAGGGGTGCGAGGTAATATTTATACTAACAAAAAACCTAAGTTCTATGAGAAGACACTGTATTCGTATAAAGCTGCGTGAAGTCCCACAATTGCATGCATAAGCTAGACCAACATGCACAGGACAAATGATTGTTCTATAATCAAAAGGAAAAGCAAGGAACAACCATCGCTGATATCTCGCCAGATCTCCAAATCCGTTTTAACATGGTAAATGAACAACACAGAAAATTTCAGCTAAAATGAACAACACAGAAAATTTCAGCTAAATGGCAATGCCTAGGACTGTAACTTAAAGACTGACGCAAAATAAAATAAAGGGAAAAAATATTAGTGTACTCACCGGCTCAGACTCCAATTTGAGCGCAGGGGAGACCGGCCGCCCCGCAGATAAGATCTGCTGGAGACGTAGCGGGAAGTTTGACCTCAGGCCCGCCATCCCAGCGCCGCCTTCCAACTTTTTACTGTTCTCTTCTCAAGAAAACCTAGAGAAACCAAACGATGATAAGCAACAAAAGATCGTCATTAAAAAGGGCAAAAAAAATAACGATCGAAATCGAAAAAAAAATATTGATACGGGGTGAAAAAGGTTAAAGATCAATAACTTTGAGAACAGGGTGGAGAATCGATTACCTGCCTATCGAGGAGACTGAGAGCAGAAGCCGAGCAGCGGCGATGAGAGGAAAAAATAACATCCGAGTGAGAAGGGAGGAAGACTAGAAGACGAGAAGAAAGGTAAAGGGAAAAGACCGATGGCTGCCCAAGAAGGGCAGGGTGTTACTTATTGGAGCCGAGAGGGGGAATAGGTCGGCAAACTCAGCGTATGCAAGTCGGTAGATACCGGGTTAGAGGGAACATTTGTGACCCTTGTTAAGCCCGCAACTTTTGTTATGCTTGATCGGTTTAGGCATCTAGGGTTAGGGTTGGGAGTCCATAGTTAAAAAGTGGTTTAAACTTTAAATATATAACATTTTAAATTATTATTGATACATCGTCAAAAAATCATCTTGATCGGGTATGAATCTCGAAGCAAAAATCAAATAGAAAGCTTTAAAAATTAAATCGGAAACCATATAAACTCTAATTTTAGCAAACTTATGATTGAACTGAACGTCTCGAAAATATGAACCCAACGACACCAAATTCGACTCAATCTGAGCTCAAATGGGAACAAATCAAAGTTTTGAAGCTATTGGAGTAATTGAACCACAATTTAGATTACCAAACGGTTTCCAAACATGACGTGCTTATTGTCGAATCGAGTGTCTCAACGAGACAAATCCAACGAGCCAAAATCACAAAATTCCGACATTACTGAGACATTCAAATGTCCATCAAGCGATCCACGATCAAGGGATTCAACATCGATCATCCATCCAAGCCACTCCCCATATATCCTTGATCTTATTCATATTTATGGGACATGTTACTCTAGAAAATCTATCAATAGACCCCTAGTCCCTCTTGAAATGGGGCTCCAAGCAAGAGAGCAAGAGAGAGATCGGATATCGCTCTTGCCTCCTCGCTCCTTGACCACCACCTGGAGTTCTATTGGACCACCACTTGAGGCCCTGAGCTCCACCGGACAACCACATGAGGCCCTCAGCTCCACCGGACCACCACTTGAGGCCCTGAGTTCCATCGGACCGCCACTAGAGGCCCGGAGTTCCGCCGAACCACCACCTGAGGCCCAGACTTCTACGGAACTACCACCTAAGCCCCAGACTTCTACCGAACCACCATCTGGAGCCTGGACTTCTGCCGAACCACCACCTGACGTCCAGACTTCCACCATACCATCACCTGAGGCCAGGACTTCTGTCGGACCACCACCTGAGGCCCAGACTTCTGTTGGGCCAACCCCTGACGCCCAGAGTACTACCATACTACTATAGTCTTTCGGACCCCTATCGCATACCAACTATGGTCTTTCCGACCTCTATCGCCTACTACAGTCCTTCCGACCTCCATCACCATACAATGGTCTTTTATGAACCCATTTTCCTACCAACTATAGCTTTTCGGAACCCTACCGACTAAGGTCCTTATGACCTCCGTCGTATACTACGGCCCTTCCGACCTACATCGCCAGACAACGGCCTTTTTAACCCCGGTCTCCTACCAATTATGGTCTTTCAGACCCATGTCTCCTGCCAACTATGGTTCTTCTTACCTCCATCGCCTACTACAGTCCTTCCGACCAACATCGCCAGACAACGATCTTTCTAACCCCGGTCTCATGCCTACTACGATCTTTCTAACCTCTATCCTATCAACTATGATCATGTCGACCAAACAAATATGTTTATGTTGATTATTGTAACTCCCACCATGTAATGCGCTTTGTATAATGTACATTTATGACATCAAGTTAAGGCCTTCTCCCAAAGAAGGGCCTCATTTGTAATTGACTAGAAATACTAGTTGTTTCATTCAAACTGGGTCAGGCCCCGTGGTTTTTCCCCCTTTTAGGGGTTTCCACTTAAAAACTCTGGTGTCTCTTATGAATGATACACTCTCTCTCTTATCTATGTGCGTATTGAATTTTCTTACAATGCTAAGACGCTAAACTTCATATTTCTCTATTTTCGCGAATACTCCATGACGCAATAATTATATTTATATATTAACTATTAAAATTTTATTATTCATTCAACAAGTCAAGTCATATTGATATCTCTCCTATTTAAAATCTCAAAATCTTAAAAAGGCAAAGATGTGGAAAACGGGATAAGATATGGCCAAGGACTATTTGGTTGCCAAAAAAATTAAAGAATTGTATTTTGAATACAGTGTATAGTAAATGCAGTATTGTTGCGGGCTATAATATTTGAGGCGGTAAAATAAGAGAATTTTCCATTTTAACATTATAATAATATTTAGCACACAAATATAGAACTTACAAATACCATGCTGTTTTTACATGAAAAATCCTAAAAAAAAGAAAGACAAATCACGGAGACGCACCTAGTTGAAACGATTCCAGTATTGTTTGAACATGTTACAAATATTGACCTGTCTCTAAACTTGAGGATGATAAAAATACAGTAGTCCATGAAGTGGGTTGAACTTCGTGTGAATGTTCGTGAGCTTAAAATAATGACGGTTGGGCAAAAGTCCAACAGTTCTAGAATGGAAGTTTGACGATTATTGGGCAGAAGTAGATGTAATACTTGTTTGCGACGGATCCATTAACCTAAACATAACAATATCATTATAAAATACAACATATAACATCCACTTTTTTTCTTTTTCTTTTTTCTTTTTTTTTGGGAAGAGTAGAGGGTATTAACAAAAAATGAAAGTATTAATAGACAAATACAAGTGAATAAAATAGAGATCATGTATACCAAAACATTATGCAAGAAATCATTCTTATCAAATTGAGCTCTTCTTCTAGAGTGATTTTTTCCTTTTCATTTATCTTCAAAGAGAATAAAATCATTACCATCTTCTATAACTATCTAATTATGTAATATACAACAAGCAAGAATAATGTCAAATTGAAATTGTAAAGGAAAGTAAGGTTTACACTTAATATATGTCTGACACTAAAGAGATCATTTATACCAATATATTGTACAAAAAACAAATACATGTATAAAAGTGGATAAACAAAATATCATTTATACAAAAAATTATACAAAAAATTATTCTTAGCAAAAAGAAATATACAATGTTGTTTAACACACAAAAGTCAAAGGAGGAACTTCCACAAAAAAGTTATTAATAACCATCATTTTGCATGTGATTTCATATGGCATGTGCAATTTCATCTCTTTTATACAACCATTCTCATGAGTCATCTACAGTCGATTTAACTCTCCTTCTATAATGGATTTTCCTTGCCCATTCATCCTAAAAAAGAATTAATCATCACTGCGTTTTGTGACTATCCAGTTATGTAATATGCTATAACTAAGAACAAAGTAAACTTGAGTTTATAAAAGAAAATAAGGTTTACACTTTATGATTGTAAAATGGTTCTTTAAAGGGCCAAAGGCATGCTCAATGGTTGTGCATAATGAGAAGCGTCAACAATTAAAAAGTTCCTTATAATTTGTAAGTCAAATAGAACTAAACTCCTTCAAGTGGTGCCTTATTGCATAATGTGGATCTATAAAATCTTTTTGGGAGGAGTAACCACCATTAGATACGTGATATTTACCTGTGATGTTTACTATAATTTTTCCTATTGAAAAATATTATACATAATTAAGGAAGTCAATATGAGAGTTAACCATTATATATATCTTGTGGAACATGTAAACCATTTGGTCTTTCTAATGCATTTTTAAGGAGTATTGCATCACGAGCTGAACCCTCCCAACTAGTAAGAACAAATGTGATCTTCAAATTAAAGTCAACTAATGCTAACATTGTTTATTTTGGGTACGATCAATTTTCTTCCTTTAAATGCGAATCCATTATTCTTATGTACCATAGCTTTGATGTGTATTCCATCTATAGCACCAACACAATCCTATTTTTTGTATAAAGTATAGTAAAAATACCACCACAAAATATGAAACTTCACACATGTGAAAAGATTATAACTATAAAAAAGGCATGAACATGTTACTCAATTGAATCTTATATGGAGTTTGGAGAAGTAGATGATTAATAAATTCATGGTGTAACTTCCCTACAACATATAATGTAGCTCTACTAACAGTTTCCCAAGAGTGTTAAAAGTTAAATTGAGTGACTCAATTATGAACATTATGTCTGAGTGCATGCAATAACATAGAAACTTGTTTTTCCATTCACACATTCAATGTATCTACCAACAATCTTCTTTTGCACATTAAGTCACATATATAATTTAAAGAAGGGCTCTCTCCTCATTCATACCATGTCAAACAATCATAATCACATCCGTAATATAACCAAGAAAGGTATGTTTGTCATTGTATATTCCATTCATGATTATACTTTTTTGCTTTATCAGGTTATCTCATGCAGTAATAGGAATATAATACTTAATGCACCAACAATCATTTTATGAACATCAAAATGATTTTGAGTTCCATCTACTCCCGCAACATCTCAATAGTCATCCAAATTGGATGATCTATCTTCATTGCCTTGCAATCATTCATACATATTTGTAGCTACAAACAATAAATTCTAAGTTAGCATGTAGATTTAACACAATCATCTACCAAAAGTAACATTACTTTAAGCTAACAACGGAGCTAAACCAGCGAATAGGACAAATAGCTAAACAAACTATAAATACAACTAAGAAGAAAACAACTTGTTATGATTCTTGCTTGATTCATCCATTAACATAGTGAACAAAATGGATCAATACAATAATTTGACCTCTTTTTAATAATTCAAATGGAATTAAAATTGCCTTTTGATAATATAATAAATTTGAATGAAATGATAAAACACCATGGAAGAAAAAATGAATCTTTCTTTCAAAAGTGAATGAAATAACATTTGATTCCTCATATAAGGATTTCAACATCATCTTCTTGAACTATAAAGAATTTCACTCTTGATAGCTTTCTTGCATTGAAAACTTCCTATGCTCAACTGAATATTTATTTTAGTCAATGGTGACCTACTCGGCACTTTAAGCACCAGAAGAATATAGCAAAGTGCCCAAATTCATCACTGATTAACATTTTAGTAGGCAGCAGACTTAATAGAATGAATGACCATGCATCTTAATATAAACCTTTTTACTTTTATTAATGAACATCTCATGAGTACTCATATGATAAGTTCAGAACTGCCTCACCACGAACTACATGTACATGAAGCTACGAAATTGTAAAATCCTGAGGTTACTA